AACAGGGGCCTGTATAGCAGCACCACCGGAGGCTGAGTGGCCAATGAACATCGGGGGGCCACAGTAACCTCCCTCTGGATGTAAGGGCATGTGCAATATGAAGAGAGGGTTTTAGTCACGCGGGATCCTTGGGCGTCGCCCATTGTACTAAATTGTTTTAAATTGTTTTATTGTGTTTTATTGCACTGAGTGCCATATTGTTGTAAGCCGCCCTGAGCGCGCACGCGGGGAGGGCGGGGTATAAATAAAATTAAATAAATAAATAAATAAATAAATAAATAAATATGGTGAACAGAATATTTTTGTTCTCCAGGGTATGTTGTTTTTAATTTCTGATTCTGACTTTATCCCCATTGTCTCATGGCTTAGTGGTATACCATTAAATCCAGAACAGAAATGACTGAAATATTGGAGGGGGGACAGCTCAAAAATACGAAGTCTATTAAATGTTTGTAGTTGGTTATAAATCAGTTGTCGACATCAATAAAAGAGGTCCTTCCATATTGCTTGATGGTAAAACACAATTTTTATGAGAAATAACCAACTCTAGTTAGGGTGGGAGAGTTGGGCAAAGCTGTAGCGGAGGGAGTTTGTCACATCTGTGGGGAAGTGATCTGTCTTCCGCCTACCGATGGGAGGGGGGATGAGGTTTGTGCCGCACGGCTTTGGCCCTTGGGTTTGAGCGAGGGCCTCCTTAATCGACACTGTCAGGCAAGAATTGGGATAGAGCGCATACCTCTGCGTCTGGGATTTCCTGGCACTTCAGGTTTAATCAGATATTCATCATTGTCTGGTTATAGATTTCTTAAACGGTAACATTCGTTCTTCCAGTACAAACAAAAAAGAGAGAGCCTACAGACATGCTTTTCTTCAGCTATGTTTGCTCCCATGTGAGAAATCGCAAGATTGCTGACATGAGGTTTTTTTTAATGCAAACAGGAATCTTATGGCAACATAAAAATGAACTGGGACAAAAAAATTGGGGGGGGGGGAACTGAACCTAAAACCTAGAATCCAGAACCTAAAAAAGGTTAGTCGAATGCTAAAGCGGGCCAACAATAAAAGCTTAATATATGAAATATACAGGGCTTTTTTTGTAGAAAAAGCCCAGCAGGAACTCATTAGAATAATAGGCCACACCCAACAGCAGAAACCCCTTTAGCATATCAGGCCACACCCCTGACAGCACAGCTCATTAGCATATCAGGCCATACCCCATGCCTTCCCTTGGCTTTTCCCGGGCTGCC